ATTTTCGCAGTAAGGTGATACCTCACCAGAAGCGTAGCAAAGTGCGTGGCGACGCCCACTGCAGCTTCGAGATATGGAGCGCATCAATACGACCGAGCAGTCGTGATTAGGCGCCCTGCGCAACTCGCTCGTGGTCGCATATCATCAGTGCTCCCGTTGATTATTGAGCTGTTTAAACGGGCACCAGAATCGTCCTCATTCGTCCGTGCGATAGAATTGTCTAAGCGGCTTTTCAAGCAGCCGCACGTACCATGTTCTGACGTCTACTCGTTTCTCCAGTTGCGCATCCTAGCAAGAATCATAGGGCAGGCTTTCTTGTCATCGTGAAACAACTTACTCGAACATCATTGTCGCCTTGTCGTCGTACTATCTCACCCAAAGTCGCACGACGACTGCGCGGCAAACAACGATTGTCTTGACCCAGTCGATGGACAACGACGTCTGTGACAACAATCAAAGAAGCGGAACGCATTGCGCTTACATGGGATCAGTGAAAGAACGCATAGGTTAGTGGCGCCACTTCAATCTGGTAGGTATTTGGTGCAGGACCCAAGGGTATTCAAAACGACAGTGATACAGTATGTCAAATTAGCTAGCTAGGAAAATCTAGATAATTTGTGCGCGTCACCACAGCCCGTATAAAACGACTCAAAGTCGGTCCCGCGTCCAGTAGTATGTGACATGATAATCGTATATGCCGCGCTTATGGGAGTGGCGAGCGACACCGCGCTAGGTGGACGGGTTGTCCTGCCTGGCCATGTGAATCTGACTGCTCAAAGAGCGGAAAAAAATTCGACGTCGCACTGCATGGAGCCCCACCACTGCGTGGATTCACATGAGTTGCGCTGCCAAGATTGAAAAAGACTGTATACTGAGAATTTGTCGCAATCATCGCACGATACGTCGCGAGCGACACGCGGCAAATTACAATGGCCTTCCCCATCTGACCACATTGAGACCCTTAGCGTCTTGCCCACTTGCCAATAATGTTTTCTTGATGTGGTGCACTCGCTGATGTTGAAAATTTATTATACAACTTTTTAATATACAGTAATCTACTTCTGTAGGGAGGGTGCGAATCCCATTCGCTTCTGTCCAATGTCGTAGATGTTGCAGAATTGACGGATGAAGGGATCGCCAAGAATCCATGATGGACCAAAACCGCCGAACTCGAATGGGAACATTGCGAAGAGGCACTTGTTGGTTCCAGCCTGAAATATGCTCTTACCATTAGTAAGCTAACAAGTAAGATTTCGCTTACAAAGCGTTGAGCGCTTCGGCTGCGTTCATGGTTTGCGACATCAGCGACTCGATAGCGCGATTCAGCCAGTAACCCATGTACCGCAACAACAAGCGGTCCAGCTATTCTATCATCGGGGGGAGCAGTGGGAAACGAGTCCAAGCTAATGTTGAGAAATTGTGGAGAGCGCATTCTATCAGCAATCTACAGACAACTTTGACCCCGCAATTGAAAAATGTAGCCTGCATCGCGGGCTAAAGTGCTGGCTGTCGCTTATTAGGAACCCTGTCCCACGGCTGCAGGCCATGGTCACTGAGGTAGAACTTCAAATTTTTGGCTCTGGAAGGCTCTTAGTGAAGGGGAAACCTGGAGGACGGTGGCTGAATAGAGCCCTTTGTGCAGTCATTTTTGAGCAGTGTGCCACCTACGTCCAAGAGAAGTTACTTCCAGGCTAGAGTTCAGAATAGAAAAAGGAGGGACACATCATCACCACTTCCTCCACTTACATTTCAGAGGGGGAAGGGGTGCGATGCGATGATAGGTGGCCATTGCAAGCAACATACACTCTATATCCTAGACATAGATCGGTCGCAATTGCGTATCAAATGGAGCGCGGGGTGTTGGAACTGGGAAAATGTAGTAATTCCCGTCAACGAAAAACTCTGTTGTTCGCATTTGAAACCTAATGACACTCGTCAATTTCAGCTGAAATACTTGTAGCGAATGAAACCTATTCAGTTGAGACTCACGCTAACGATGTAGTTGACGGGGTCGATTGAGTAGACTTTGCCTCCGATGGTGATGTCAATCTTGGCTGGCTTAGCATTACAGGCGATGGTGTAGGATTCCTCGACAGCGCTGTACTGAAATGCAAGCCTTTACGGTCACTCAACTAAGCCCCATCTTAAAGATATTAGTCGAACCTTAGCTCCAGCAGCTGCAGCCAGGGCATCAGTGACGGTCTTGGGTCCTCCGATGAAAGATGTACCGGTGTCAGAGATCACATTGTAGTTCTTGGTGTTCTTGTAGGTTCCCAATCCAATGGCGGTCATCTGAGAATCATGCGTTTGGAGAAGTCGAAAGGTGTTTTCCTAGTTGTGATTACCTTGAACTCATAATAAGTGGCAGAGGTGAGGGGCTCATAGGCGGTGATTGGGCCACAATTCTTCGTGTCAATGGCTCCATAGGTGAAGATACCTCCTGGGGCTCCATTAAGATTTCCACGGTGCTCCATCCATACGGTGAATAGCGGCTGGTCAAGCAGACCTGAATAGTGGCACGTTTTTTTCTTTTAAATTTTGGATTTTTATAGGCTTTAACATCGGTGTTGGGAACTGGTAACGCCAGGAGATGAAGCCGTCAGCTTACACCGCCCCAGCCGCCCCTTTTAAATTAACTAAGCCCTACATCGGCTAATTTTTTTCACTTCGTAAATCGAACCCTCTGTAATTGCTGAAAGAGCCAGGGGAGAATACGAATGCATGGCGCATCCCGGAAGAGTGACACTGATCCTTCCCTTATCCTTTGGTCATTTTAGGGCAATTCCAAAGGAAAGCTCACCCTGGTCGATGGCGTTGATGAGTGGAGGGACAACCTTATCGACAGCAAGTGAGGTGAAGGCAAGTCCGAGAATACCGTCAGTTGGGTCCTGAAAAGAAAGCCTAAGAGAGACAGTAGGTGGACAGCTTGTAGAACTTACGTTCTTGAAGTCGGCCGAGATGTGTGTAGCCAATCCGAAGGTGGTTTTTGGTACAGCCAGCTGCTTTTCCTTGCTTCCGCCGAACTGTAAAGGTGTTTTGGGAGGCAGGGGTTCAAGCCTAAGCAGAATTTGCTGCAGTTCGGCGACAGGGGAGGGCACTTTGCACTTTCGCTGCTTCCGTGTACATTTTTCACAAGATCTGACAGGTTTTACCATGGTGACAAGACAAGCTTGCTCCAGCTTCACAAGAGTTCACAGGTTTCACCAGAGTGAGACTTGTAAACCGGAACTAGTGAAGCAGTGAAAGTGCAAAATGCCCCCCCCCCTCCCTCCTTGCCGAAGTGTAAACAGGATCTTAGCAGTACCTTGACAGTGTCAGTTCCAAGTACTCCCTTGGCATCTCCGGAGCCATAGGTGATGGTCCAGGTCTTTGTGCTCTTGACGAATGATGATGACGAGCTCGAGACGAACTTGTGCTTCTTGTTGCAGGATGTGCTGTAAAGGGGTTTACAGAAAAAAAACATTTTTCAAATTGAGTATCGAGGAGTGGTGCGCAGGGCATCCCTGCGCATTCTTTCACATTGTCATTTACCCAACCATTTTGCCTTCCGTTCTCCCCGTGCTATGAAGGAGAGGAGCGCGCCTCTGGAGAAAGCACAACGGTCATGAACCCTCGCCCATCTCGTTATCACAGAATGTAATCCCAAGCGAGCGGTTTCTGGCACCAAAATCAGGTTGCCTCCATGGTTGTGAGTCCCCGCCCATCTGGTTATCACAGAATGTACTCACTCGCAAGAGGTCTCTGGTACCCAGAGATTGGCTGAGCCAGTATCGAGCACGACGACAAACTGCTGGTTGGGTGTGCCGATGGTGATGTTACCAACGTACTCGTAGTCTCCATAGTCGGATACCTAAAACAGCGGCTTCAACGCGATCTCTGGGCTTCTACCCTGAGCAAAATCCTTTAAGCGGAAAGGAATTGTTCAGAGTACTCCCACAGAATCTCAGAGCTCATTTAATTGAAAGTCTGCCTTACCGACTGTGGAAGGCTAGCGAGATTGGCAGCACGTAGAGAGTTGCGGTACTCGACGTAGGCGGCATACTCTCCTCGCTCGATCATTTCGATCTAAACATAAAGGATCAATATCGATCGATAAAGCAGTGAGTGAACGAGAGGTTCCATAGCAACTCTAGGCAGTACCTTTCTTGACTTCCGCCACATCAATGGATGCTGAACTACGGCAGCGGCCGAGAGCCCAACCAGGGCTAGGAGAACGGCGAAACGCATCCTGAAATGTTGGGTATTTACTGCTTCAGTACCTGTTACCGCTATTTGTACGTAATCGAGCGCCGAGCATTATTTGATCATGAATTGCAGAAGAACCTTCAGCCCCTTCTCCTCCCTCTCACCTACGTGCCGCCAAACTAGCGGTGGACCACAACAAGGAGGGAAGTACAAGAGGAGTTTGAGTGCAACCAGCAGGGAAGAAGAAGAGGAGCTTGTGCTATGATTTATAGACATTCTGGCTGGGGTCTGAGCTAAGTTCTAGACCTCGGTCATGACTCTGATAGAAAGGAAGCCTGTAGGCTCATAATCGGTTGAGGGGGGGAGGGGGTGGGGGAAAGGGCCTTCAACACTTTCGCTGCTTCCCCATGAACGGGTCGGGCCGTCAAGTGTAGACCTGTGAGAAGCCCCAAAGTGATGCCTTGTTGCCAATGCTCGTACAGACCACTTGTCAACTTTTGTCAAAATACCAGTCAACGTATTCCCTCCCCCCTAGCCGAACAGCTCCAGCCAATACGTATGGGATGCTGGGGAAAACTGCACACATGAACCAAAAAATGTATAATGAGGTAAACGCTTGCCTAAGCACTACTGCTTGCAGCTTATCGCCTACACTCTTTTATACGCCTGCGCTGACGCAAGTCCCGCTTAGTCTGATAACGCCTTTACAACCAGGAGCACACCCAGTTCTTTGCTATACGGACTAGAAAAGAGATTACGATAGGATCCGGTACGTCTTTCGCGGGTGGCAACTTTGAAATTATTCAAGTGGTTCCCATTTTTACAACAGGGTCATCAGTTCCCAGTTTTTGGCTTTATGTCTCCTTTACTGCCCAACTCTTCGAAATCTCTTCGAAGTTATCCTGCGTGAATGCCTGGTACCTGCTCTACAAAATCCGACGCCACAGATGCACTCGAAGCCGACGCCTTAGCACAGGTTACTGGCATTTTAGGGCCGTTTAGGGGTTACTCTACCTCTCTGATCGTGAGCGTGTTTAGGGAGCAGGCAAGTCGTAACGACTAGGAGGACAGGACTTAGGCATCTCAAAAGATGTAGCTGAAATAATGTTCCCTGAAAGGTGCGTGCGTGCTTGGTTTGTTCCTTTCAGCGCACCCCTACCCCCTTTCAGGTCGGCGATTCTTGTGTTCCTGGGAAAGAGTGGAAAGTCCTAAAAAAACAACGGAAAAAGCGGTGATAGAAACTTGGAAAAATTTAAAAAGTGGCAGGTAGGATGGGGATCTGGAAGAGGAGGGGGTCACTCTGGAGGCGGAAATATCGAGCTCTTTCGGGCCTGTAGGACATGCGCATCCATTTGAGATGAAAGCATTCAGCGATGTAGCGTAAATAGAGGAGACCATTTTTAGGGGAGGCGAAGGGGGGGGGTGAACACATTCGTTTCACCTATTCCATCTTGGAATCAGATCTGGGATTCAAAATGCTCCTTGTGCATACCCTGCTGAGATCTCCTCATGAACAAGCCGTATCAGAGTCTCTGCCAAGGTCTAAGCTAACTACTAGACCTTGGCAGAGACTCTGATATGGCTCTGAAGGCCTGTAGGCTCAGATCGTAGCGAATTAGTCTGCTCATCATCGTGCTGTTTTCTTCGCGTTCATTTGCCGTTCAGGCACTCTACTTTGGACAAGGTAATGCCCGTCCGCAAACCTGCAGGATGTGCCACTTTCGTGGCGCAAAGTTACACGAGGAAAGCAGAACTACTAGCAGCAAGGGCGACACTCCGCCCTCGCTACTAGCGGTTCGCGCTTTGAGCACAGTTCGAGCACCCAGCTCCCATCTTTAGCGGATTCCTGGTATGCTCTTCTAGTTTATAACACTCCCCTTCCGAATGGTGTAGGGATAGGGCTGATAGACCTATGATACCAGCAAGTGGGAGCTTGTCCGAACACAATTTTCCCGAATTCGCATGCACAGGAACGGCTAGCATGAAGTCCAGGTACATCGTTGTTTGGGGAATCCCCAACAGGGGAGAGTCCTACTTGTCGCCGAGGGGGGGGGGAGGAATCGATTTGGGCTGAGAAAAATTTTGAGCACTTGCTTGTTGTTGTTTATGTTTATTTACTTTCTGTTCACTTTATGGCTTTTTAGAGAGGTGGTTGACTTTTCGTAATTTTCTTGTTTCATGGGTACTATATACCCCCCGCTCGACAGCAAAATTTTGGTAAAAGTAGGGAGATTTTCGGGAAATTTTGAAAAGGCAGGAAGTTGGGGAAAATCGGGGAATTGGTAGAAGGGGAGGTCGAGCTTCTCCCGTTTCACACGTGTTATTTACCCCCTCCCCCTTTCGATAGCTCGATGAGGAGGGACACCGGGCCGGAGGGGAGGGGTCGTACCAACCCTCAAAAAAAGGGGGGTCGTACGGACTCGACTAAAATCCCCAACCAATGATGTGCCCTGATGAAGTCTAAATGGGGCATTTTGAACGGGTTTCTTTCTACTTTTCCCTTTATTTGTGTGTTACTTCCCATCTGTTTCTTGTATTTTAGCAGCACAGCTCACGATTTTCGGGAACGCAGTTTCTTGTGGCGCGATCTTTTGAGAAGCACTGCTTATCACAAGAAATTCTCCACACAAATTACCGCTTAACGTTATCACTATGATTATACGTCAGCGGCCCATGTGCTTAAGCAATATCAGATGACTTGATGAACGCTACATACAGAGAAAGCAGAGGCAAGACGCTTCTGCTTTCAGTCAAAAGATCTACATTTCTACCACGATCTTATACTGTACAACCATCTATAGCAGTTACATTTGAAGCTGATCGCAGTAAA